CGCAGGGTTTTGGTCTCCAGCTTCTTGCTCTGGTAGTCGGGGCTCTGAAAGGCAGCAGGGCGCTGGCATCAGGGGTGGGGGGCACAGGGGGGCACAGGGAGGCAGGTAAACCCCCCACACACAGCTGTGTCACCCCCCCCCATACCTCCCCAACTCACCCTCTTCTGGTCCTTGAGCCTGTTGTACTCCTCGGCCAGATCCTGCGGAGGAAAGGGCAGGAGGGGGGGGTCACAGGGAGTCATGGGGGGGGCACAGCTTGGGGAGCACCCCAGGGGGGCAGAAGTGCTGCCCTGGTGTCCTGCAGCATCCTGAGGTTCCACAGCATCCATCCCAAATCCTCCCTGGCGTCCACCCTCAGCGCCCGGAGTCATCCCAAGGCTCCCTGACATCCACCTCTGGAGCCCTGCAGCATCCCAGAGCTCCAAAGCATCCATCCCAGTATCCTGCAGCATCCCAGAGCTCCAAAGCATCCATCCCAGATCCTCAGCATCCATCCCAGTATCCTGCAGCATCCCAGATCCTCAGCACCCATCTCAGATCCTCAGCACCCATCCCAGTGTCCTGCAGCATCCCAGATCCTCAGCACCCATCCATGTATCCTGCAGCATCCCAGATCCTCTGCAAAAATCATCCCCACTGCCCTGCAATGCCCCGGATCCCCCACACCCATCCCTGGAGCCCCTGTGGCCTCCCAAGGCCCCACGACATCCATCCCCAGCATCCTGCAGCATCCCGAATTCTCCACGACATCCATTCTCTGATGCCCTGCAGCGTCCCAGAAGCTCCACAAAGATCCATCCCCAGCACCTTGCAGCATCCCAGGACCTCCTGAGCACCCACCCCAGATCCCCAGCATCCATCCCCAATGCTTTCCAGCATTCCATACCCTCCCCAACACCCATCCTAGCTCCTCAACATCCATCCCCAATGCTTTCCACCATTCCATATCCTCCACAACACCCATCCCAGATCCTCAGGATCCATCCCCAACACTCTCCAGCATCCCACACCCTCCACAACACCCCTCCTAGATTCCCAGTATCCATCCCCAACACTCTCTAGCATTCTATACCCTTCACAACAACCCTCCCAGCTCCCCAGCATCCATCCCCAACACTCTCCAGCATCCCGTACCCCCCACAACACCCATCCCAGATCCTCAGCATCCATCCCCAATGCTTTCCAGCATCCCCTACCCTCCACAACACCCCTCCCAGATTCCCAGTATCCATCCCCAACACTCTCCAGCATCCCATACCCTCCACAACACCCACCCAGCTCCTCAACATCCATCCCCAACACCCTCCAGCATCCCGTACCCCCCACAACACCCACCCCTGCTGCCCTGCAGCATTCCCAAGGCTCCCCCCCCCACCCCACCATGTGCCAGCGCTCCCACAGCTCCCACCTGGTACTGGGGGCTGTCCTCGGGGACACTGTCCAGCTGCTTCCCGAGCTGGCCCAGGCGGTCGTTGACGGCGTCCATGTGGGCACAGAGCTCCTTGTAGCGCCTCAGGTCCGAGTCGAACTCCTGCTTGTACCTCTGCCGCGTCGCGTCCGAGGAGATCGGGGGGTACAGGCTGGGGGGGTGTGGGGGGCACAGTGAGTCCCTCAGGGGCGGCTCCAGCTCCGGGGGGTGCTCCGGGGGGTCTCCAGCTCACCTGGCCCACTGGTCAGGGTCCCGCTCGTCCCCGGACTCCACGGCCGTGGTGTAATCGGTCTCGTACTGGGACTCGTCCAGCTCCGGGTTCCGGCGGCGCCGGCGCCCGCGGCGCGCGGGGGGCTTGGGGTTGGGGGGCTGCTCCCGCCCCTTCCCCTCCACGGGGCTCGGCTCCTGCTCCGGGGGGTCCCTGTGGGGGGCACAGCAGGGTCAGGGAGGGGATGGACACCCAGACCCCCCCTCCCGCTCCGGGGGGTCCCTGTGGGGGACAAAGCGGGGTCATGGAGGGGACAGAAACCCAGACCCCCCTCCCACACCCTCCCTTGGCTCCTGCTCCAGGGGGTCACTGTAGGGGCACAGGGGTGTCCCAGAGGGGATGTACCCTCAAGACCCCCCTCCCTTGGCTCCCGCTCTGGGGGTCACTGCGGGGACACGGGGGTGTCACCGAGGGGGTGGATGCCCAGACCCCCCTCCCTTGGCTCCCGCTCTGGGGGTCACTGCGGGGACACGGGGGTGTCACCGAGGGGGTGGATGCCCAGACCCCCCTCCCTGCACCCTCCGTGGGCTCCTGCTCTGGGGGGGTCTTTCCAGGGGGCTCAGGAGTGTCACGGAGGGGATGTACCCCCCAGACCCCCCCTCCCTTGTCTCCCACTCTAGGAGGGGGGTCACTGCAGGGACATGGGGGTGTCACAGAGGGGATGTGCCCCCCAAACCCCCCTCCCTGATCTCTGGGGGTCCCTGCAGGGGACACGGGGCGTTCATGGAGGGGACGGACACCCGGCCCCCCCTGGCCCTATCCACACTCACCCACGGGTGCTGTAGGTGCCCGAGGGGTAGAAGCCATTCGGGGGGGGGCTGTAGGAGGGGGGGCTGTAGGGGGGTGCAGTGATGGGGCTCGTGGGTTTCTCTGAGTAGGCCAGAGTGGCCGTCTCGTCCTGGGCGCTGGCCCCGTCCGTCACGTTCTTCACCTGCAGCAGAGATGGGGGTCAGGGGGGTCCGGGCTCGGGGGGGGGGTTGACACTGCCCAGTTCCCCCAGCAGGGCACGGTGGGGACAAAAGGGACACCAGTGTCTGTCCTGTGCAGCAAATCCTGCGGCAGGTCAAGGATGGCG